TATGCATTGTATTTTCCTTTTGTGCATTTCCTCTGTTATTTTAGAGATTGCCACGTTTCAGCAGTAGTTACCTAATGTTTGGTACACATATGTTCTGATTTCTGAACAAAAGTAAGAAAACAAGACAGTTTTGTTTAATCTGTTTCAACTGGAAATAAAATATATTGCACATTAATAACCCCAGTTATTGTGTCCTGTGATGCTAAATATTCCCGGGCTACATACATATTGTATTTATGTATATATTTATCTATATTCTGTGTGGAATATACAGTATATATATATATATATATAGATAGATAGATAGATAGATAGATAGATAGATAGATAGATATGTATATACATGTATAATGTATATGCTGTTGTTTTATTTATGGAGCTAGTAACAAAAATAATTTCCCTCTGGGATTATTAAAGGATATCTGATTCTGATCTGATCATGTCCTCTGTGCTCTGCACAGTGTTCTCCCACAACCCCTCCCTCCCTTTTCCAGAGGTATCATCTCCAACAGGAAGCCTCCAGCTGGGAATGGCCTGTGGAAAAGCTCCAGGTGGACTTTCTCCTCAGTGTGTTCATCTATAGAATCAGCCTGTGCTGCTGTCTACTCTGACTCATGGAGTCAGTCAGCATCTACTCACCGAGCCTTTCTGCAGTTCCTCACAGCTGGAATCAGTCTCCGTCGCCCCTGCTCTGATGTGTTGTAGCTGTGTGGGTCCAACTCATCCAGAACCTCCTCTGACATCTGCAGCATGTAGGCCAGAGCTGAACACTGGATCACAGAGAGTTCCTTCTCTGATTCCCCCTTTGACTTCAGTAAGTTCTGGATCTCCTGATAAAATGTGATGTCTTTCATCTCCATCAGACAGTGAAAGACGTTGATGCTTCTGTCTGGAGACATTGTTGATCCCATATCCTTCAGGTTCTCTATGACCTTCTGGACAGCTTCTGGACTGTGGTCTGCTGGACCCAGCAGGTCTGCTAAGAGTCTGTGGTTGGACTCCGCACAGAGGCCATGAAGGAAGCGAACTAAGAGGTCCAGGTGGCCATTTTTACTTTTACAGGCTTTTATCATGACTCTCTTCAGGAAATCCTCAAGAGATGAGTACTCGTACCATGCCCCCAAGAAGTTTTTCAGCCCGTCTGTATTCCTGCTGTAGCAGTGTAACATGTAGACTGCAGCCAGGAACTCCTGAACGCTCAGATGAACAAAGCAGTAAACTGGCTTCTGGAAGATCACACACTCTCTTTTGAAGATCTCTGTACAGACTCCTGAGTACACCAATGCCTCTATGACATCCAGACCACACTGCTCCAGGTCTTCCTGGTAGAACAGGATGCTTCCTTTCTCCAGATGTTCAAAGGCCAGCCTCCCCAGCTTCAGAAGGAGCTCCCTGTCGGCCTCCATCAGCTCCTGTGGACTGGTCTGCTGGCCCTCCTGGTACTTGAGCTTCTTCTTCTTGGTCTGAACCAGCAGGAATTGTGAGAACAGCTCAGTCATGGTGGTGGGCAGCTCTCCTCTCTGCTGTGTGGTCAACATGTCCTCCAGAACTGCAGCAGAGATCCAGCAGAAGATGGGGATGGCACACATGGTGTGGAGGCTCCTGGAGCTCCTGATGTGGGAGCTTATCCTGCTGCTCAGCTCCTGGTCCCTGAACCTCCTCCTGAAGTACTCCTCCATCTGGGAATCAGTGAAGCCTCGTATCTCTGTCAACCTGTCCACGCATGCAGGAGGGATCTGATTGGCTGCTGCGGGGCGGGAGGTGATCCAGAGCCGGGCCGAGGGCAGCAGTTCCCCCCTGATGAGGTTTGTGAGCAGAAGGCTGACTGGGGACTTCTGGGTGAGGTCAGTCAGCACGGGGCTGCTGGTGAAGTCCAGGGACAGCCTGCTTTCATCCAGGCCGTCAAAGATGAGCAGCAGTCTGCAGGCAGCCAGCTGCTCTGCTCGGAGCCCCTTTAATGCTGGATGGAAGAGAGCCAGCAGCCCCAGAAGGCTGTGCTGCTCATCTCTGAGCAGGTTCAGCTCCCTGAATGAGAGCAGAACCACCACACTGACATCCTGGTTCTCCAGGCCCTGGGCCCAGTCCAGAGTGAACTTCAGCACCGAGAAGGTTTTTCCCACACCGGCCACGCCGTGGGTCAGAACCACTCTGATGGCTCCAGGCTGGCCAGCTGAGTCTTTGAAGATGTCGTGGCACCTGATTGGAGCGTCCTGGGGGCTCCTGGAGGCGGTCTCCAGCTGCCTCACCTCATGTTGAGCTTGAAGCTCTGCACTCTGTCCCTGTGTGATGTAGAGCTCAGTGTAGACCCTGTTGAGGAGGGTTCCACTGCCTGCTCCATCAAACCCTTCTGTCACATGTTCACATCTGCTCCTCAGACTCAGCTTATGTTCCTCTAAGACGTGCTGCAGGCCAGCATCTGCTGAACCAAAAACACAGAGGCCAAACAGAAAACAATCACACTCAACACACAACAGAGTTTTTTTATGCAGCTTTACATTTTTTTAAATTAGGGTTTGTGTATATATATATATATAAATACATACGGTCATGGCCAAAAGTATTGAGAATGACACAAATATTATCTTTACACATGATCTGCTGCCCTCTGGTTTTCATGTGTGTATGTCAGATGTTGTCATCACATACAGAAATACAATCAATGCTTGAATTCTGTCAGAATTCCTAGGTTTTTGTTTTTCCACCCGTCTCTTGATGATTGACCATTAGTTTTCAATGGGATTAAGATCAGGGGAGTTTCCAGCCCATGGACCCAAAATCTCTATGTTTTGTTCCTTAAGCCAGTTAGATATCACCTTTGCTTTATGGCAAGGTGCTCCATCATGCTGGAAAAGGCCTTGTTCATCACCAAACTGCTCTTGGACGGTTGGGAGAAGTTGCTCTTTGAGGACATTCTGGTACCATTCTTTATTCATGGTTGTGTTTTTAGGTAAAACTGTGAGAGAGCAGACTCCCTTGACTGAGAGGCAACCCCACACATGAATGTTTTCAGGATGCTTTACAGTTGGCATGAGAGAAGACTGGTGGTAGCGCTCACCTCATCTTCTCCAAACAAGCCGTTTTCCAGATGTCCCAAACAACTGGAAAGGGGATTCATCAGAGAAAATTACTTTACCCCAGTCCTCAGCAGTCCACTCCCTGTACCTTTTGCAGAATATCAGTCTGTCCCTGATGTTTTTCCTGGAGAGAAGTGGCTTCTTTGCTGCCCTCCTTGAGACCAGGCCTTGCTCCAAGAGTCTCGGCCTCACAGTGCGTGCAGATGCACTCACACCTGCCTGCTGCCATTCCTGAGCTAGTCTGCACTGCTGGTAGCCCGATCCCACAGCTGAAACACTTTTAAGAGACGGTCCTGGCACTTGCTGGCCTTTCTTGGGCGCCCTGGAGCCTTATTGGCAACAATGACGTTGAAATGTGTTTTGGGGGATAAAGTTCATTTTCTGGGCATATATTGACTTTGCAATTAATTGCTGTTATGCTGAACACTCTTTTTAACATTCTGGAGTATATGCAAATTGCCGTAAAAAAACTGAAGCAGTAGACATTGTAAATATTAACATTTGCATCATTCTCAAAACTTTTGGCCATGACTGTATATAGGGATTGGACAATGAAACTGAAACACCTGGTTTTGGACCACAATGATTTATTAGTATGGTGTAGGGCCTCCTTTTGCAGCATACAGTATACAGCATTAATTCGTCTTGGGAATGACATATACAAGTCCTGCACAGTGGTCAGAGGGATTTTAAGCCATTCTTCTTGCAGGATAGCGGCCAGGTCACGACGTGTTGCTGGTGGAGGAAAATGTTTTCTGCCTCACTCCAAAGTGGCTCAATAATATTTAGATCTGGTGACTGTGCAGGCCATGGGAGATGTTCAACTTCACTTTCATGTTCATCAAACCAATCTTTCACCAGTCTTGCTGTGTGTATTGGTGCATTGTCATCCTGATACACGGCACCTCCTTCAGGATACAGTGTTTGAACCATTGGATGCACATGGTCCTCCAGAATGGTTCGGTAGTCCTTGGCAGTGACGCGCCCATCTAGTACAAGTATGGGGCCAAGGGAATGCCATGATATGGCAGCCCAAACCATCCCTGATCCACCCCCATGCTTCACTCTGGGAATGCAACAGTCTGGGTGGTCCGCTTCTTTGGGGCTTCTCCACACCGTAACTCTCCCGGATGTGGGGAAAACAGTAAAAGCGAACTCATCAGAGAACAATACATGTTTCACACTGTCCACATCCCAAGATTTGCGCTCTTTGCACCATTGAATTCGACGTTTGGCATTGGCACGAGTGACCAAAGGTTTTGGCTATAGCAGCCCGACCGTGTATAATGACCCTGTGGAGCTCCCGACGGACAGTTTTGGTGGAAACAGGAGAGTTGAGGTGCACATTTGATTCTGCTGTGATTTGGGCAGCCGTGGTAGCACCCGAACATCCCTTTCAGACAGCTTCCTCTTGTGTCCACCGTTAATCCTGTTGGATGTGGTTCGTCCTTCTTGGTGGTATGCTGACATTACCCTGGATACAGTGGCTCTTGATACATCAAAAGGACTTGCTGTCTTGGTCACAGATGCACCAGCAAGACGTGCACCAACAATTGGTCCTCTTTTGAACTCTGGTATGTCACCCATAATGCTGTGTGCATTGCAATATTTTGAGCAAAACTGTGCTCTTACCCTGCTAATTGGACCTTCAGAGTCTGCTCTTATTGGTTCAATGTGCAATTAATGAAGATTGGCCACCAGGCTGGTCCAATTTAGCCATGAAACCTCCCACACTAAAATGAGAGGTGTTTCAGTTTCATTGTCCAACCCCTGTATATATATTAAATTAGGGTTTGCGTGTGTGTATATATATATATATATAATGCAACAAAGAAAATACAAATAAACATTTGTTTATCCATTTCTGGTTATCCACTGCAGGCAAAGCTCCCATGATGCATCAGGTGGTACCAGAAATGTCTGACCTGCTACAGTTATGGTTCTTTCTCCACACTGGGGACAGGGGGGGTGCCCTGATAGGGCAGACTGGTCCCAGTATGAGCTGCTGGACTGTCTGCAGAACCAGTGTCCACAGCTGGTAGAGACTGGATCCTTCAGGACGTCCTGACACAAAGCACAGCTGGACAGCTGCTCCTCCTCCCAGACACCACTCCTCTTCCTCCCTCTGTGAAGACATTTCTCCATCACTAACATGGTTCCAGCAGAGCCAGAGCTGCTGTCTCTGCTCCTGATGGGAACAGAAACCTCCCTGCTGCCCTTCCTGCTTTTGATTCAATATCTGCTTTCTATGGATACTTCACAGCTGAACCCACAGCTGCTGCTCTACAGTCAGCATTTAGGTCATGAAACTTCATTCATCATGGGGACATTTCATAGTGAAGACCCCCTGATCCTCATATGGAACAAGGAGAACACTACAGGAAGGAAGACACAGGACAAACCCTCATGGAGGGAAAACAGAACCTCACTGGAGACTTTTAAAGAGGAACCATAGAAACCACATGTTGAATCCTGTCTTACTTTGTGTCTGGGGGACCAGGTCCATCTCTGAGGTCTGGAGGTCTATCCATGGACCAGTCACTCTTCACAGACACACAGTCGGGTTGTGGATCCTCTGCTCTCTGTCTGTGGCTCTGACCTCTGCAACACAAACATGTTGTTCACATCATCACAGAGAAACTCTCGGATGGAAACCTGCCCATCCATTTTCTATCCTGATTATTTATCTTGGTCACAGGGGGAGGAGCCTATCCAAGCTGAACACAGGCCAGAGGGTCCTGGTTCTGGGCCTGTTCGGGGTCTGTGTCTGGGGACAGGGTCTGGTGGGGGGACACTATAGCACGGAACTCAGTTTCAGTTCTGCTGCCAGAATGCTGAACAGGACATGAATGGAAAAATCTGTATGAATAATTAAAAAATAATCAGAAACTTTCTCACACATTCTGAGAATAACTCCTGAAATCTCTGTTTCAGAGGTCTTACTTTGTGTCTGGGGGTCCAGGTCCATCTCTGAAGTTCAGAGGATGAGGCATGGACCGGTCACTCTTCACAGACACACAGTCGGGTTGTGGATCCTCTGCTCTCTGTCTGTGGCTCTGACCTCTGCAACACAAACATGTTGTTCACATCATCACTGAAAAACTCTCTGATGGAAACTAATCCAAACCTCTGAGCACACAAACTGCTGCAGAGGATCTGTGGGACTCTCCTCTCAGACCACAGTCCAGCTCTTTCTCCAGCTGTTTCTGAACCTTTGTACGAAAGCAAATCATTAAGGTTCCAGCACTCTACTAATTTTCCACCTCGTCCTTTATCTACATTCACCAAGTTTGACTTCCTGTTCCATCTGCTTTGCTCTTCTCTACAGGTCAACCCTCCCTGATTAGAACAAACATTTCTCTGGTTAGTGGCGTTCCCACATGTGGAGACACAGCTTTGTTTTGGGGTAAATGTCGTTCCATCTGTGGGGGATTAGCAACCCCATCTAAAGGGCCCATCAGTACAAACAGCCTCAGCTGGCTGGTCATAAACACCTTTAGATGTTCCACCTCAGATCAGACCCTGAGCCCTTCATGAGCAGCTCTCTTACTTTGTGTCTGATGGACCCGGACCAGCTCTGAGGTCTGGAGGTCTGGACTGGTCCCTGTTCAGAGCCTCAGACTCTGCTCTGTCCATCTTCTGGACTTCAGTCACTCTGAGAAAAGAGAAGAAAAGACATAAACCAGACGGTGTGTTCAGGGCCCACAGCCAAACAGAAGCAGCTGGAGCACCCTGCTCACACTAATGTTACTTCAGCTTTACTCTGGTTTGATTCTGTTCAGGACCATCTCACATCCTATAGACATCTACTTTACCATTGATCAGACAGTGAACCGGTGTAAATCTCAGGGCTTGCTGTTGGCCAACTTCTCCAAACGCTGTCCTGAGATGTACGAGGTAGTTTGGTGTCTGATGCTGTAACTCCATCATCAGAGCTGCTCCCTCTAAAAACAGGTGAAATGTTTGTGCTTTTTATCCAGAAAACCCTCAGGTCACATCTACTGTTCAGGATCTGGTCCTTATGGACATAGATTACATGTTCAATTTCAATATTTATACTACAGTAACAGAGTTACACACATTAGTATCTTAAAACACTCAGCATTACAGTACAGACACAGGTTTTGTGCTTCCTTATATCCTAAACATCAGGAGGAAACATTTCGAATCATCACGTTTTATGAAGTTAAGTCTGTTTTCTTTTATTAGTTTACGACGGTTCTGCCACATCCAAGAGGGCGGAGGCGCTGCCGTATCCTAGCAACGGACCAACCTGCTCAACGCGGGTCTACGTATACATGTCTATGCCCGTGTTCCAGATTTCTGAGATGCTGCATAGCTATTGGGTCACACAGGTGTCACTCAAACGTAAAGGCTGGAGTTCGCTGACATCTGTCAGCCTATCAGAGTAGAGGGAGGGCGGGGTTTAGAGAAGGAATACAGAAGACAGACGACGGAAGTTTTTACGGAGGAATACGCCCAAGCTTTTTCCCTCCAGAAAGTTTTAGAAAAACGAAGGGAGCCTGTGAATGAGTGTTTGTGTGGATCCTGTAGCAGCATCATAACACGACAGCAGCTCATTTACCACCGGAACGACTCATTTCCTCTAACGGGAAAGAAGTCCTTCATTTGACTCTGTCTGACAGGAACATGAAAATAAAGACAGTTTTTACTGACTAAACCATTTGTGTTCGACAAAGAGCTGTGTCGGACTTAGAATACAAAAAGCAGAACAAAGACTTTCCACAGAGCTTCTTAGGACACATTCAGCTGGTTTTACATGTTCGGGACAAGATTTTTATTTAGCACAGTTTGATAAAAAGTTAAACTCTCAGCTTTCAGTCTGAGATGATTTTTTACGACCACAAATCAGCATTTTATTTCGACAATAAATTAGTTTAGCAGCTAATGTAAATGTAGAATACAATGAATATATATGACTTAATCTACATCGTATTGTGTCTGTGTTTTAAGTTTCTATTGTTACAGTTATTCTGCTTCTGGAAGCCGCAGATCAGATGTCTCATAAAATGGAGGATTCACTTCTGCTTCAGTTCAGCTGAGCTGAAGTTTGTTTACCAAACCCTGGAACGGACCATTTAATGCAGATTTCTGTTTACAACAGCTGATTTTTACCAGTTAAACATATTAAAGCAACAAAAACTGATCATTTACCTTCAGATTCTGCTTCACCTGAGAGGAAAACGTCGCCTCCGTCCAGTTCATGAGCGTTAGAATGTGAAAACCAGTCCCACCTGTACAGGTGTGTCTGTGTGGATCATGTTACAGCAGAACAACACGCCAGAAGTCTGCAGACTAAGGGAATGACTCATTCACTCTCTGTTCTTAAACCTGAAAACAAAAAGCTGCTGCCTGTTTGGATTTGTCTAAAAATACTCACTTTATCATAGTATGCTATCACATGATCTATGTAGATTACTGATTGTTTTATTTTCTTTTATAACTATATTTTGTGTTGAAGTCTCTGGCTGTAACCACAGATTCTCTTTTCTCTCCTTTCCTTCCTCTCCTTTTCTCTCTCTGTCAACACAAACACACACACATCATTTGGTACCACATTCCAATGTGATCAACATGAATTAGGACCCGGCTTGTTAGTCTTAGAGGTAACTGGCCAATAGGACTTGGTTGTGTCCAGTCCTCCTTTTGAGGGGTGTGCCCAGCCCAGGAGACAAAGACCCATCACCCCCAGATCTCAGGGCTCTTTGCCGACTGAGACCCTGAGAGAGAGGTTTCCTCTGTGAAGAGCCCAGCGCTGAAATACTTTACCTGTGACCCAATAAATGTCCATTTTTTACTCTTGATCTAATCTGGCTTATTCTCAGGTTTACAATTGAAGAATCGGGTTAACATGCCAATCAGAGATAAAGACTCCCAGAAAACAGTCATGAGGGCTGTTCCTGCAGTCTGAGCTTTAAACCTGATCTGGTTAGCCCTTCACCCCCATTTCTGTATGGGTTTTTAATCCATTGGCTAAAACGATAAGGCATATTTGTGTTTGGTCACAGTGACCTGTGACTTTATAAACATTTAAAAATCATAATGAACATTTCTCTCAGAGCTCCTCAGAGACAAACATGGAGCTGGACAGGTCTGGATGTTTGTGTCTCATAATTAAACTGTTGTTTCTCATTAGATCAGTAGTATAATATTCCTCCACCAGCCGTCCTGTTCACTCCAGAATCAGCATTCTGTGAAGAAGCTGCACAGTCAGCTGCTCCCTCTGTCAGAGTCCGTCCAGTCAGAGGACAAAGCGGCTGGTCCACCACCTCCAGGGCCCCCAGAGTTGGTATGTCCTCCATGGACTGAGCCCCTTCTGTCCTGAACCCTTATCAAACTCCAGCCTTCAGGCCCTTCCAGAGGGGCCCTCATGCTGCGCCATGAGCTGGGGGAGCTGCTGTTGGGGGGCTCGGCCCTTTCTGAAAGTCAGGTGTGGTCTCCCTAGCACTTCCAGAGCAGCTTGTCCCTCCTCCCAGAAGCTCTCACAACCATTCAGACAGAATAAGCCTTTAGGCTGAGAGCTGAAGCCCAGAGATCCACAAAGAACAAAGCCCAGGAGACACCTCTGCTCCTGGGGGCTGTTTGTGAGTCCTTAAGGGAGTTACCACCCCTTCATCTCCAACACTGAGGTGGAAAATACAACAAGATAAAACACAGAGTAGGACAAGGACACTTAGAAAGTATAAAAGAAGATCAGTAGGAAGAGAAGGTGCTGAATGGTCCCAAGCAGAAGCAGAACCAGCAGGAGCCATTGTTCTGGGGCAGGCTGAAGAGCCAGGACTGTCAGATAAAAGCTGGAGCCTTCACTGAGACCCTGAACAACACAGGCTGCTTTGCTTTTAGGAGGGATGACATGGAAGGAGACGTCTTCCTGCATAGCCCTGAAAAAGGCCAGAGACTTGTAACCCCTTTTTTCTTCTATTAAGAATTTAGTATAAATTTGGGTTTCAGATTCCTATATTTTGGACCAATTTTTAGAAGATTAGCTAACGCTCATGAAGCCCAGGACGGAACATCAAAATTAACCACACTCACACACGATTTAATTTCAATAAATGTATTATTAACAATGAACCTGAACAATATTAACAATATGATACAATATAATGAAAAATAATAAAGTGCGCGCATAGGAAACAAAGAAAAAAAATTATGAGCTCAGTTTGTCCTTTTTCTGATGTTGTTGGGGCCCTTTAATCTCACCGATCCTACCACACAGTCTTGGGAGTTTAGTTCAGTTTTATCTTTTGGGTTCTGGCTCCCCACTTCCTATCGGGTTAGTCCAGCAGATGGTGAGAAACAGCTGATGGCTCTCCTGCTCTGGTCTCCTCTTTATCCTGGATGGCTGGTGTCTCTGATGCTTCTCTCAGCATCAGGATCACCAATTCCTATCCTCAAGAAAAAACCTGACCTGTAGGACAGGCCACATTCATTCAACCATTCATTAAATCAAACTGATACAGGTCATAAGTCCTTATTTAAATTAAATAACACAGAAATGACCTAAAAATCAATCTATATGAATTAACAAAAATGGCTAATTCTCATTTCGGTGTAAACAGTGTAAATTAAATAAAATACACAAATTACCATAAAACACACAATAGCCTAGCAATCTGAATTTCCCCACATTTTAGCGATTAGCTACGCCAGCCAAGCTCAATGCCACACACGTGGCATTAAGCTAGCAGCTAGCGGCCGATTAGCGCTAATGCTAACGGACCTTTATTTGCCATTAAATCGCTCAAACTTCATTCAAACTCACCGCCGAGTAAGCAACACAGAATGTGGATCCTGGACTTTGCTTGCGCAGTGTTTTCCACCTTTTTCTTCAATTGTTCGTTTAATTTTCTGTCTTCCAACGCAGAGAACACCTCGTAACAACCACACAGTGTGTCTTCCTTCCAACTCTCTCTCTGTGTGCTCTGCGCAGCCGCAGTACCGCGACGCACCTGCGTCTGCGCTGTACGTCAGACTTAACCAACTAACTGTTGGCTATCTTTCACACTCATTCATACTACTTATAAAAAAACAGACTCACTTCAAATGACTTATGAAGCCTGGGCTACAATAGACACTGTGGAGCAGCCTGAGTAATACAGCAGGACCCAGTCTTTTTACACTCTTTCTCACCCCAAACTGATGAATCATCGATTAGTTTCAAACGATCGTTTTCCTTTGAATCATCCCATGACAGGATGGTAAAGATGGAGAGGAAGAAAAGAAATCACTCAGGGGGAAAAAACCTGAAATGGAAACGGGAGTAGTTGCTATCCCTGTGTTCCTACTCTGCTACAATTACAGCCACTGTTCATAGTCTTATGGCTATCATTATTATTAGTCTCAGTAACACAGACTGGATGAACAATGGCAATGATATTGTGGACAGGATCTAAAAAGTGGACATGTCTGGGCAAAAGACGACGTTTGGTAACCCTATCAAATACATGCGTGCTTACGCATATGTGTACATGAAAAGCAAAAAAGATGATTTTTACACTGTTGATGAAAACATGTGGAAGTTATGGCTCTGTGGCGCAATGGACAGCGCATTGGACTTCTAAGAAAACTATATCAAGATGTAGACATTCAAAGGTTGTGGGTTCGAGTCCCACCAGAGTCAAGTGTGTTGTGGTATGGCAGTAGTGTCATTAGGAACGTTTGGTAAAGGGCAGTAGCCTGCTGTCACCCATCACTGTGCAGAGGTCTTTGGAAGCTGCTGAAAACTGCAAAGTTTAAGCTGAAGAACATTTTAACACTGTTACTGTGTTATAGGGCAAGGGCAATCACAGAGCTTGACAGCTAGCAGAGGATGGTTTTGATCCATTGACCTCTGGGTTATGGGCCCAGCACGCTCCCTCTGCGCCACTCTGCTACTACACCTTAACACCTCACTGCTTGGTGGTGGTGGACGCTTCATGTATTTCTATTAAACTTCTTTTTAAATGATTTTACCATGAAAGTCCAGCCCCTTTTTCTACTATTTAAGTTCTTAGTTAAAGTGTATGACTATGTTGTGTTTTTTTTTCTCAGTTTCCTTGAATAATCTGTTTCTATTAAATATTATCAACCTTTCTCTTGCTCACTTTTTATTTTTGCCAACGCTAAACATGCCTTGTGTACAATTGGCTGCTTATATTGAGCTATTCCACTTTTGTGTTTGCACAGGTGCAGTGCCAGATTTGGTGGGTAATCGGGTCGTAGACGCTCGTAACACAGCTTCAATAACACCGTTACCCTGTGTATATACTACACGATGTGAGATGCACGTGTTAGCTGAAACTCGGCCCGATTCAAGAAATTCTCACACGAGTGAAAAATCATGTCAAAAAGGGCACAGTGTATCCCAAATCTTCTGGAACATTTGCTGCCCTTGAGAGAGGCTGGCCTTGTGTTGAGCTTTACTCTGCTTTTAGCTCCTTCCACCTATTGTGGATGTGTACACTGTTCCTCTAAATCTAGAACACAGCTTCATGTGTTGTTCTCAGCTGGTTTTAAGCAACAGATCCATTTCCACAGCGCCCCCTCCCTGCTTTGAGCCGCCTATACCAGGCTACAGACCTGACCCCCCTCCCCACAACATTTCCTGACATGACAGAACATCCCAAGAAGAACATGCTGCGGAAGTGCTGATTTCTGTGTTTCATAAATCATGCACATTATATGTTTACCTGTTTCCTGACATCTGACAGTGTTGTCAGGATGGCCGAGCGGTCTAAGGCGCCAGACTCAAGGATTGTAACCTTCCTTAACACGAGGGGATTTCTAGTCTCCAAAAGGAGGTGTGGGTTCAAATCCCACTCCTGACACACAATTATTCTTATTATACAGTACTTAAAATTTTGTGAAATCAGTCACCTGCGGACTGAGTGGCTGCAATTTACATTCTTTTCAAATGAATCAACCTTATTGCAGCCTTATTAGATCATTTATTAGATACTTTTGTTTAAATTATTGTTCTACTATTAAGAGTCAAAAGGGGGATTGAATCCACTCTGGCAGAGACTACAGCCTTAACACAGCACCTTGGACCACTCATCCAGTCTGACACTCTGCCTGGGGCTGGAACATGGAACATTAACGGTAGTGAAGTTTAAATCCACAATTTGGAAACACATATCATTTTAGTGTGGGAGGTTTCATGGTTAAATTGGACCAGCCTGGTGGCCAATCTTAATTAATTTCACGTTGAACCAATAAGAGCAGACTGTGAAGATCCAATTAGCAGGGTAAGAGCACAGTTTTGCTCAAAATATTGCAATCCACACAACATTATGGGTGACATACAAGAGTTCAAAAGAGGACCAATTGTTGGTGCACGTCTTGCTGGCCAAGACGTGACCAAGACAGAAAGTCTTTGTGATGAATCAAGAGCCACGGTATCCAGGGTAATGTCAGCATACCACCAAGAAGGACGAACCAAATCCAACAGGATTAACGGTGGACGCAAGAGGAAGCTGTCTGAAAGGGATGTTCGGGTGCTAACCCGGATTGTATCCCAAAAACATAAAACCACGGCTGCCCAAATCACGGCAGAGTTAAATGTGCACCTCAACTCTCCTGTTTCCACCAAAACTGTCCGTCGGGAGCTCCACAGGGTCAATCGCTATCGCCAAACCTTTGGTCACTCGTACCAATGCAAAACGACGGTTTCAATGGTGCAAGGAGCGCAAATCTTGGGATGTGGACAATGTGAAACATGTATTGTTCTCTGATGAGTCCGCCTTTACTGTTTTCCCCACATCCGGGAGAGTTACGGTGTGGAGAAGCCCCACAGAAGCGGACCACCCAGACTGTTGCATGCCCAGAGTGAAGCATGGGGGTGGATCAGTGATGGTTTGGGCTGCCATATCATGGCATTCCCATGGCCCCATACTTGTGCTAGATGGGCCAAGGACCACCGAACCATTCTGGAGGACCATGTGCATCCAATGGTTCAAACACTGTATCCTGAAGGACATGTCGTGTATAATGATGACAATGCACCAATACACACAGCAAGACTGGTGAAAGATTGGTTTGATGAACATGAAAGTGAAGTTGAACAGCACAGTCACCAGATCTAAATATCATTGAGCAACTTTGGGGTGTTTTGGAGGAGTGAGTCAGGAAACATTTTCCTCCACCAGCATCACGTTGTGAACCGGCCACTATCCTGCAAGAAGAATGGCTTAAAATACCTCTGACCACTGTGCAGGACTTGTATATGTCATTCCCAAGTCTAAAACCAGGTGTTTCAGTTTCATTGTCCAACCCTTCAGATTCCCGGGGCGAACCTGAACGCATCACCAGCTGCCCCAGC